AGATGTGCTATATCACCGTTGTTTCTTAGAGCTGAATAGTACTCCATGGTATACATATACCACATTTTATTAATCCATTCTTGGATTGATGGGCACTTGGGCTGTTTCCACAGCCTTGCAATTATGAATTGTGCTGCTATAAACATTCGAGTGCAGGTGTCTTTTTTGTAGAGTGTCATTGGATCTTTTGGGTAGATGCCCAGTAATGGGATTGCAAATCTTAGCTAACCGAATCCAGACACTTACAAAAAAGATAATCCATCACGACTAAGCGGGCTTCATCCCAGGGATGCAGGGATGGTTCAACATACGTAAATCTATAAATGCAATTCGCCACATAAATAAAAGCAAAAACAAAGACCACATGATTCTTTCAATAGATGCAGAAAAAGCTTTTGACAAAATTCAACACCCTTTCATAATATGAACACTTAATAAAATAGGCATAGAAGGAACATACCTAAAAATGATACAAGACATATATGACAGACCCATAGCCAACATCATACTGAATGTGGAAAAATATATTAGGGTTTCTTAACCTCAGCTTTATTCAAATTTTGGGCTGGAAAATTTTGCTGTGTGTGTTGGAGGAGAGGACATCCTGTATATATAGGATGTTTAGCAACACCCTTGGGCTTTGCCCACTAGGAGCAACCAAAATTGTCTTCAGACATTGCTAGATATCTAGATATCCCCTGGGGGACAAAACAGCCTTCAGCGGAGAACCACTGATACACACACACACACACACACACACACACACACACACACGAGAATTTTACCTTTAATGTCTTTAATATCCCAGAGATTCAGCATCACACTCAACAAATTACTTTTAGGGCATTGGTAACATCAAAAAAGTTGTTCATTGCTATAATATATGCAGCTCCACCAGAAGAAAATCTTCTCAAAATTACATAAAAGATAACTAAATTGACAATTCACTCAGAACTGGTCCTAGACTGAAGAACTGGTTTGATTTAGATTTGAGTAAACTAATAATAATAATAAACTAATAATAAAATCTATAGATGATACAATTTTCAGAGAATTTAAGATGGAAAGTTTGTCCAAAGTGAGGCCAAAGCATTGCACATTAAATAACAAAAACACAGGGTTCTTCCCTTGCTAAGGTGAAGAGAGGATGATGAAGAGCTCTGAATCTATGCCACACTGCAGGAGGGAATCCAAGGGCTTGGGATCACAGCCTTCAGTATGGACACAGAGATGAGGTGGCGTGTTCCAGTGCTCTCTGTAGTATCTTTGTCAGTACAATGGGTGATTAATAATATCAAATATATTTTGAACAAATGAATGAGTAGTGTTTGAATTCTGTGAATCTTAGAAGTGTTCCCAAGAGCCCAACTCACTCTGCCTGCTGCACGGTGATCCTCTGATTCCTGTTCCTGTGTGATCCCTTCACAAGCCCAAGTCACTTAAAGACAATGCTCCCATATAAGCATGTCCATGACAGCTACTCTTATTACATCTCAGCTACTGATCCACTCAAATCTCCCAGGGGAAAAAAAACAATCACAGCACATGCTTATCTGCAGTTTATTGGAGAAAATATTTTATCATAAATTAAGAAAACTATGGTCTAGGCTGATTTTTCTTCTACTTAATTGTATATGTGGTAAATCACTGAGGCACTGTAGCGTCCCAAAGGTTCCTCGGTTTTGTTTTTTTTTGTCCTTTTATTTTGTCATATTATGGGGGTAAAAGTATTGTTAGGGTTACATATATTGCCCCTGCCATTCCTCCCCACCTCGTCTTAAAAAGAAGGGTAGTATTTCCACAGTCTCTTTTAGTTCAAAAGTTTAACAATTTAGAGTTTGATACATATCTATAATCCCTATGAAAATTACATAGCTTCTAATATAATAGGTAGTTCTTTCTGCACCAGAAAAATCATTATTGGAAAACATGTCTCCAGTGAGATAAAATTACAAAAATAATTAGTAAATCAAAGACTATTTCACTTGGACACCAGAGACATCACATGTAATTGATATAACTGTTGCAAGCTTTATAAAACTTGATGAGACATATATAGGGTTGTTTAATTAATGTTATAAGAAAGAGGTAGTGGTGTGATTACACAATGGGTTGAATGTAAGAAAAGCCTGAGTTTTGATCCCCATCGCAGTGTCTCCCTCTACTTGGGTGATCTTTTGAGACATCCACTCTCAGTTCCATATCTTATATTGTGAAAGATGATAATAACAATAGGAAATTCCCCAGGACTATTAAGGGTCATTAAAATGATAATGTTTGCAAATTGCATAGCACAGATACCTTGTCCACATACATGCTTGCTAAGTTCTGGCTGATTCTGTAATAATTTCTGTTCCCTTAGTTTAAAAGTACTGGGATTTGTAGCAGCCAAGGGATAAGCTTTACAGATGGCTAATGAAATAATTAAAAGATATATTTTAACCGATTTTGGAAGAGATCTTGTTTTCAAACAACAGACCACACCAACATTTGCATGCTCACTTAACCTTTCTTTGTGGATCCAAAGAATTTGATGGGTCACTTAAACACATGTGGTGATATCATCAAAATATTCATGGATATTATTAAGAGAAGATATTATAAAAAAACAATACATTTTTAATGAAAAGTATTTGAAAACTTTTCATTATGAAAAGTTTTTATTATGAAATAATAATTTTTATTATGAAAATAATAATAATGTCTATATCTACATGGAAGTATAATCTTTTTTAGATTTTTTTCCTTCATTTATTTCTAGTGTTATTTTTAATTTTGACATCTGAGAAGTTTTTGATTGGATGCTAGTCTATCGTTACCCATGAACAGTGCAAAAAAGAATTCTGTGTAATTGCTTTTATTAATACCTTTTTCTGATTTTTAAAGGGAAAAATGCTCATTACTGCAAATTTGAAAAGTACAGGAAATTATCAAGAAACATGCTAATAAAGCAGACAAAATATTATCGCTAAGAGTAATATTACAGCATTCTAACATTTGAGACATCTGTATTTAAAATTGTGTTAAGGAAGGGAACATTATTTCAATTTAGGCTTTCTTTGCTACGCTTGGCCTAAAAATATAGAGAAGTATGAAAATGTGCAATTTGTGTAGAGAGAATAATACTCCCTAAGAAGCACAATAATTAAAATATAATTATTTACCATGCAAAAAAGAATTCATGTTCAGAAGCAATGAAATTAGTTTAAAACAGTAAGAACATACGCAGAATTCCAGAAGGTAAGGTCCTTTTTATCTGACAAGAGAATACAACAAGGGAATCAGAGGATGGATGGTGCTTTTGTGTACCCAAACTAACCTGGTCAAAGAACTAAAACCTACATACATGGGAAATGCTGTAATACCAAAGAAATGGGCTAAAATATTACAGGGTTTTCTCATTTTTGATGGCCAAATTCCACCCTGTAAGCAATGCATTAGACGCTAATGACATACGATTTCTCACTGACAGATTTAACAGCATCAATAAGGCCTCTCTGTCCATTGCAGCAAATTGATCCTACATGACACTGACAAGGGCAGCCTGCACTTAATGACCTCCATCGCTGAAGGATGGCAATGAAAAATGATTGGAAGTACAAATAAATCTTTGAAAGTTTCCCTGAAACAGGTGTGCTAAAAGTGATTCGTTTGAGGGATCACAAACATAAACCCAATCTCCTAGCATTCTCCATTGTCTGTCTGTTCATACTAAAGTCTCACTCCTTGTATTTTGCACTAAAATTTGCTTTAATTCTAAAAATGAGATCAATACAATTTTTATCTTGCTATGGAAATATGATGTTAGGGTTTCCTCTTAAATGCAGAGTTCTCCACTATTTATGCAGGTATCTAATATATTTTGTCATCTGCCTCCAAAGGATTCTGTACAAAATGATAATGAGTGCACGTACAATTTATTTTTGTTTTCCCCCTGATTAGAAAAGGAAACACAGTATAACCAATGATTATTTTCTCTTTCTCAATTATGGAAGCAAATAGAACATGCTTAACCTCAATAACTATGTCAAATGCATGAAGTAATTGGACAAAAACTTCATGGATACATAGATGCCCTTTCTTTGAATCCTGCAAAAGATTCATTAAGATTTTTGGCAGATAACTGTAGTATCAATTCTATCCCAAACACATTTATTTCTTGATCTACCTTCATCTTCTTATAGTTTCAAAACGGATTTTTAAGGGAAAAATACATCCTTCTCTTTCCCAATATATTCAGAAGATTTAACTGTAATGAGGGTAGATGGATGGGAAACAGGGGAGTTAATAAGCAGGATACCATGTGAGTATAATAGTTACTTGCAGTTGCATAGTATCCCTTTATTTTTGAAATAAATTATTGTGGATGGCTCTTTTATACCCCTTACCAGTTTGATGAGAAAACTTAAGTTGGAAAGAGTAACTTGCCAAAATCACTCAAAGCCCAGCCTCCTGCCTTTGCAATACTCCACAATAATGAGGGATAAGTATAGTACTGGAATTCTAGACTACTAATTATAATACAGCAATATGAGCAATACCAGTAGGAGAAAGGATTCATTAGCAGTATGCTGGTTCTTATGGCTAGGTGAATTGTTAAACTATAATCATGACTTTATATTCTTGAATCTGGTTGGGGGTAGGGAACAAAGACTCAATGGAAAATAATTTTTCTCAGCACTAAATCTATGATAACATATTTAAATCTACAAACTAAAAAAAAATCATCATTCCTAGTTATAGTAATTGAAAGCAAATTAGCATAAAATGATGGATTAGAAACTAAGTGTTTCATTTCTCAAATATTTTTTCAAAATTCAATATCAAAGGTTGATAAAAATACACAACTACACAACAAAACTTGATGAAAAGAAAATATGCCATTTTGTGGCAAAAGTACTGCCATCAAATTGGAGATCCCAAAACTGACCACTCTTTACTTTTTGTAGTGTACATGTCAAATAAATCATTACATTTTTAAAAATTAGAAAAACCAATACCTGTTTCTTATCTCTAATTGAAGCATCAAGTGATAGCTGTCTATCATATTGATTCAAATAATTGTCCTTTTCTGTTAAGCAAATAGCCTGTAGCTTTTGATACTCTTGAGCTAAACGTAGATTTTCTGCCAGTGAATCTTCTTCTGTTTTCTAGAAGATAAATATATATAATTAAGATCATTTTAATTTGTTTGAATTATTCCATCTTTTCAATTATCTAAACATGTTCTATCACATATTATAGAAAAATAAAATAACAAAAAAATGTTTCCCGATATGAATATCCTCCTTTGATTTAATAATTTTTTTTCTTGATGCAGGTTTTTGTTTTGAAACACTGATGTGTGATTCACCAGAGTTTGTCAGACTTGTGTTTTACCCCTTTCCACTGTCTTGTCCCCTACTTCCCTCTGTCATGCCTTGACAAGTACCCAATCCTCAATCCTGAGAGCCTCTAGTCAGTATCCCAGGGACCTTGTTCCAAGTTCCCATTCTCCTTTCCTTTCCTTTAACCCCTGTGCTCAAATAGGTAGAACATACTTTGGAGCTCAGAATTTGATCTCCAAGTGGTTCAGGGTGCTGGCGCTCACAGAACACATTAAAACTATAGAGGAAGAAAAGAGTAAAAGACAAAGAATAGGGAACCCAACGTTTAGAAGCACCCAGAACCATTATTTGCTATTTGTTATTAATATATTATTATTTGTTAATATATTTTAGTTATAGTAAAGGTTAAATCTGTTTCTGTGAGCAGCTGAGAACTTTATAATGTCCTCCTCTGTAACTAAATAAATATATATCAAATCTAATACAAATCCCTTAGAAAATAACCTTGTATCATTACCCATTGGCAAACTGAAGGTCACCTGTATATTGAAATTAAATGAATTCAGTTTAGTTGTTGATTTTTTTTTTTACATTTACATTTCTTGCACAGAAGACTTTGCTTCCAAACTATGGAACTTATCAACCACCTTAAATATTTTCAAATCTCTTAGTCTAATAATTTCTCTTGTGGGAATCTAGTCTAAGCAAAAAGCTTTATTCATTGTTATTTATGATAGCAAAACAGTTGTCAAAACACATAAATGCAAATTAATCATGATGATGATAATGATGATGAAATAACTACATACAAATAACCATTGTGAAGCAATTAAAAATATTTCATTGTGAAAATTTCCATCACATCAAGCCTTTAGTATAAGTTGTTAAAAAATACATTGCTGTATGAGGATGTGAACAGAGGAAATGTAATTCAGCAGAAAATTGCCTGTACAAATATTTCTGTATTTACACACTTGAAGATTTATTAAAGTCAGTAAACATTTCTCATGAAAGCCTGGTATCCATATTGATCCCCAATGATAAATACTGTGTCATAGCTGTTCTTCAAAAAGCCAAAATGATGAATTGAGAACCATTTTAAATGCCCTTGTCTTAATTCTGGCACAATAATTTAAAACTTTAGAAACTTTTTTTCTAGTAAACTTGCCTAAAATCACATAGAATTATCTTTTGTTAGGAGGAAAAATTTCTATGACTATTTTCCTCTGGTGGAGATATATATATATTTTTTTTAATTTTGGCATATTATGGGGGTACAGATTTTAAGGTTTCAATAAATGCCCATTTCCCCCCCTCCCCCCAAAAGTCTGAGTCTCCATCATGACCATCCCCCAGATGGTGCACATCTCACTCATTATGTATGTATATACCCGTCCCCCTCCCCCCTCCCACCTCCCCAATACTCTATTACTGTAGCACCTATGTGTTGGTGGAGATACTTTTTAAAGATGAAAACAATACTTTTTTGGTATCTTTACACTTACATTAAAATTCAGTCCTCAAGTGATTGACTTGAAATATTGATAAATACTCTACTGGAGGCAGAAGTAGGAATCACTTTGAGTTTTTTGTTTGTTTGTTTGTTTGTTTGATTTAAGACAAGCACAGCTCTGATATTTCAGATATCTTACTTTTCGGTTACTTTTCTTTCAAGTATTAGATGGCTACTATAAATATTTGATTTGAGAGAAGTGCTACAAAAGTTGTGAGATTTGCATTAAACCTATTTAATGGTACTTATTTGAGGGAATATTTGGTAATTAATGCTTTGCGCAACTGTGTAATATGCAGTTTTGTTTCCAAATGCGGGTACCTTCAATTTCTGGATGGCACCAGTACTTACTGTGTATATGCTATAATTAAAGTAGATACCAAGAAATCAAATTGTGTAGTTATGCCAATGAATTCTCAAAACACTGTATATCAGTCATAATATTTTACATTATCATTTCCCAGTAATGAATGTATAGAAGGATGTACCAATTCACTATTCCTGAAAGTCAGGGACCTTCATATGTGCAATGAAATTTAAGTTTTCTTAATTTTAAATAATAGTATTCTACTGAAATAGACACTGAAAATGTTTTCTATGTTTAAGTGTGGTTCTACCTTGTAACTCAGACTTGTTTAATTTTTTCTTTCTTTTTTTTTTTTTTAGAGTCTAGTGGCTTTTATTAGGTTTGTTTCCTATACCATGAATTCATAGGGAATAGATTCTGGCAGCTCAAGGTCCTTTCTTTGCTTCTCACAGGTGTGCTATGCCTATTATGCCATGAATTCATAAGGAACAGGTCCCAGTACCTGTTCCCAGTACCATGCTCCTTTCTGTCGCTTCTCACAAAGTGTGAGACACCTATTATGCCATGAATTCATAGGGAATAGGTTCCAGCAGCTCGGGCTCCTTTCCATTGGTTCTCACAAAGTGTGCTTCTCTGGGTGGAGCAGGCTGTCCCTTCAGTTAAACCCAGGTACCTTTCTCTTTGGCTTCCTTCTTTTTCTGATCATTTTCCTTCACACGTTTCAGGAAGCTATCTCGGCTCTTAGAGTGCTTAATGTGCTCGATAGGTACATCAGTCCTCTTGGCAAGAATCTTGCCCTTAACTTGTTTATTTACAACAGTTCCAACAGCATGCTGGGTAACGTTGTAGACTCTTCCAGTTTTGCCATGGTAACATTTGTGGGGCATGCCTTTTTGAACAGTACCCATTCCCTTGATGTCTACAATATCACCTTTCTTGTAGATTCGCATGTATGTGGCCAAAGGAACAACTCCATGTTTTCTAAAATGGCCTACAGAACATGTATCGGGTGCCTCTCCTCTTTCCCTTTGTGTTAGTCATTTTGGGGAATTACTGGAAGATGGCGGCTCCGGCCGAAAGCCAGACTTGTTTAATTTATTACAACATCCAAATGAACAAAGGGGGAATGATAATTATTGGCTGAAATATATCCGGGGAAAATAATGCTACCATTACTGAAGTTGAATAACTCATAAAAGGATAACTAGAATGTAGAATTTTTATTTTTTTAATTTTCCATATTTATTGAATTTATTCAAAAAGCATAGATAAAATTACACTTTCTCAAAGCTAGATTTACTGCTATTTATTCAAGTCTTATTATTAAGGATTATTAAGAGATATGGTGCATATGTGTTAATAGTTAAGGAAAATACTTAACTTGATGATTTGTTCTCTATTATCACAATTGTTTGTTAAACCTTGATGCTTACGAGGTGTTACAGTTTTTTATCCCCACATTTTACTAGAAAATAAAAATTATGTTTATAAAGTGCTGAACAACATCTAGATTAGAAGTTCCATGAGGGCTGAGGCTACCATTTTGTTCACCCTGAAGGATGTTGCACAGAGCAGAGCTGACATGAGTAGGTGCACAGGTTTTCAGTAAACAAATGAATGGATACACATACATAATAACAGCTAGGAAATGCATATATTTTGTACGTTAGAACCACACATTTTATCTGCCAACTTCTATGAAATATTTCTATGAAATGTAACCACCTATTATAGTGAAGCACATTCATTTATACTATTTGATACTTTACTACTTGAGAGGTGAAGATCTTAAGTATATAATGAGAGTCCACACAATGTGTGTTTTCTTCAAAAGCTATTCTAAGAGTAACAACATTTTTGAGGCTTAGCAAGAGTTCTTTATTTGGGTACATCATTCATTGACTTTCACAAGGTATGTGAATCCCTTGAAACTATATACAGCACTTTTCTTGTGTTACCTAATTAGCCCATGATCCCCCAAATATTGAGGAACCATTGCTAAACTGAAGACTTGGCTCCTTCTCTGTCAGTAAAAATGTTGAAAAATAACAGCAGATTGAAAATCCAAAATAGCCAAATAGTAATGATGGTTTTCCAATTTCTTTTTTCACTTGACCTTTCTTATTTTTTAAGCCATGGATTTCATCTTGAACTTTTCCTCCATTTTCACTTTCAAGCTGCCACCATGTTGTGAGGAATCTGGGCCACATTGGAGAGGCCACACGTAGGTACTCCAGAAAATAGCCCTAGCTCATGTCTCAACCAGCAGTAATCAACTGTGAGTTAATGACTCATCTGAAGATAAATCCTGACTCTGCTCTCCTGACTCTATCCTGCTGATAGCCCAGAAAGAGTAAAGCAGAGACAAGTTATCTCTGCCGTGCCCTGTCCAAATTTCTGGCACATAGATCCGTGAGCATCATAAGTAGTCGTTTTACACCAAGAAGTTTGGGGGTACTTGTTATACAACCATAGTAAGTGAAACACCAGTATCTTATGCAAGGTTACACAACTTTTATATTAAGAAGAGGAGCTGGGCAGATTGGCTCCAGATCCTGGACTCAGGCGTTTAACTATCTGATATACTCTCTTTATACACATGAGCCAACACTCTTAAACACTGTGCAATGCTGTCTTCATAAAACCTAATGAAATTAACCATCAAATCAAATAACTGAATTCCCTTGTTGAGTCCATTTCCACCAATCAACTGTCCCTATATAATCTGGCTAACCCATAGTTTTTTGACAGATAAAATGGGCTGCTAAAGGAAATTAGAATTCGGTCCCCTTGGAAACTACTCTTCATGGGCACTTTGGTTAAATATTAATATAATTAGTCTCGTGTTCTTTGATCTACATAATTCCATGTTTCCCGATTTGATTAGACCTATTGCATTCACTGGCAAGGCCAAGTGCACCGACCTTCAAAGCTGATGCCCGCACAGCTCTGGACTACTGTTGAATGCAGCAGAGTAATGCTACCCACTGTGACCGGCGGAGC